TTCTTGATAAGATCCAGAGGCGGATATATAATATAATTGGCCCTGATCTGGCATCTCGTCTACAGTCACTTTCTCACAGACGCGCCGTCGCCTCTCTCTGTCTTTTATACAAATACTTTCATGGTAATTGCTATGATGAGCTGCATTCGCTGGTTCCCAGACTTCATGAGTTCATAAGCGCCCTACGAGGCTGGCATATATATCTCATATATTCACTGTCGTGTGTATATAAATATAGCCGTCTCTTCTACTCCAATAGCTTCATGTCTCGCACCTCTGCCTGTAGGAATATGTGTCTTCCCTATTCCTGTTTCCCTGAGAGCTATAATCTCCAACTATTCAAATGTAATGTCAATCGACATCTCCAATTACCCTTGTGTATATCCTTCTCTCTTATTGTGTCTATTCTTATCTATTTTTGAACATAGAAATATCGGTCCTTGCTCCAAATAGTGGATAATCGTTATATTTATCTTAAAATATATTTATAAAAAATAAAAAAACCTGTAGTCGATATTAAATTTGAAAAAATTTTCTCAATTACAAAATCCTCCGGTTTAAGTAAACAGACAATTTACTTTTATTTAATTTCCATGGAAAAAAAAGTTTTTCATGTTTAGCCTTGTCTTATTCTAACATTAGATTGTCTATGAATGTGAATATGTCAATAATCGGAAATGTATCTTTATGTATTAGATATCCCATCAAACATGAATTTTTCTCTTATTTAAACCCTTAAAAACCCATCTCTTTTAAAATTTAGGATGTGTTTTTTTTATTTTTTTTTTCCTCCTCATAAAATATCTCTCTATAAATTATATATTTTATATATTGAGTTGTTTTTTTTGTTTTTTTTTTTGAAAAAATAATGTCTGATGAATTGGATTGTATTTTCTGATTCCAATGGAATAAATTATGACCATGGAATATTAAGGTTTTTAAATTTTTTTTAAAATATATAATAGATCTATGAAATATAATATTTGTAAGAAAGAAAATTAATTTTATACCTATATTCTTCCTGTATAATTTTTTTTTTTTTTAAAAATTTGAATCCTGCTTCAAAATATTTATATATTTCCATATAAAAAATAAATTATATTTTCCCAGGTATTTAATATTATCTATCTATATATATATATATATATAGTAAATATCTCAATAAATTTTTAAAATGATTTGGTCTTTTTTTCATCAGAATTTATAGTAAATTCTCCCAAAATGAACATTATATATTATTTCCAAGTTTGACTAATGTATGTTTTATAAAAGATATTTTGTTTATTTTATACTGAAGTGCTATTATCATTATACCTTGTATAATGAAATTGGAAAATATTTTTTTTAATTTAAAAAAATATTTAATATAAGAATGGACAAATTTTTTAAGATATATATAAATAATGGATAGGATATTTTTTAAAATCTGAAGAAAAATATATTTTATTAATGCAGACATTATTTTATAAAAAAACAATATAAACCTAACTATTTAGTTTCTAAAACATAATGATAAATTTGTGCAAAAGTTGAAGATCTTTGGCATCACTAGAAACTTTCTTCAAAGTAATATGCCATATAAAGTGGACAAGGACTGAGAAAAATTCACTGATGACCTGAAAGGAGCTTCAGGAATATTTTTAAATAACAGGAACATCTATTACCAAGGGAACTATTAATTATCAACTGGAAGATAAATGATTCAAATATATTTTATATAAAATATGTTATATTCGTATGGGATGTGAAAAGCAATTTTCACTAGATTGATAAATTATTGTATAAAATTTTTGCATTGAAGGCAGCAATCAATAAAAAGCATCTAGAATTAGCAAAAATTTATATCATATCAGCATATTGTTTTGATATAAATTTTGTATTCCACTGTTTTTTTTGAATATTTTGTTTAGAATTTTTAATTTATTTATATTTTACATCAACCCAACCTGGTTCACATGTTGCACATTGCAACCTTGAAATTTGACAATGGTGATTGGATTTTTTGAAAAAACCTTGTTCTCATTAAAACATATTTTTTTTACATCTGGATGTTATAAAACATTAAAGCAGACTGCAATAATTTTTTTGAACATAGGTTTAATATATTTATATATATATATATAAAATCAAAATAAAAAAAACATTTATTTTAGTTAGAGTTTATTTTAATGTTAAAACAAAAAATATAAATATTCAGAAGTGATTGAAATATATATATTATCTCCATTGACACAAAACCTCCCCACCCCCCAAACAGACCAGCATTTGATGTCAACATTTTAATATGTTATAGAGAGAGATACAGTGTTTATGTAAACCACTGATATACTGAGAGAGGAATGCCAGCAACAACAACAATATCACCAATGTCTATACACACAAACTTATAAAAAAATCATTATTTTTACTAAATCTTTTTAGCAAAGCAAGAAAAGTTATATAAATATATATAAATAAATTATATATATATATTTATTTATTAAATAATATACATTTATTTTTAATACTCAATGTAAAAATTTTGTTTTGAATTTATGTTTGCCGAGTTTTGGAGAATTCTAAAATTAACCTTTAAACTTTTAACAACAACAAAATTGTTTCTTTTTTCATCTTTTTCCACAAATCATTCAAATAAAAACAAAATTTAACTTTAAATTATTCAAAATGCATTTTCAATTTTTTTTCAAACAAATATTCATTTGGTTTTTATAAATGACCATACCGTTTTCCTTCCTTTTATACAGATTGGGATAAAACTTTGTTTTCAAAAAATAAGTGTATGGCCTTCCATTAACTTGAACTTTTTTTATGGATAAATGAGATTTACATTCATATTGAACAGGAAAAAGATTAACACCATAATAAAATTTTTTATTCAACTCATTTCCCAGGCAGTTTTGAAATATATATTGTTAATATTTTGACAATAGAAATTATTTTTTCTGTGTGGTTCCCATTTATTGTTTTTTTTTTTATCTGATGGCTCAGTTAATCTCTCAATATTATGGTTTGGGAGAGTATGCACATGTTATTTTTACTGCATGGGCTTTTGGGGAAAAATAATTTCTGTTTCAGTTCATTTTGTCTTCAATTAATGTTACTTCTTTTCTTCTTCTTTTTTCATCATCTTCTTTAATTTTTCTTCAGGTTCTTGTTGGTTTCTTCTTCAATGGTCAGATTTTCTTCCATCCTGGATAATGCATAAAAGAGTTTCTTCTTTCTTCTTCTTTTTTCTTCTTCTTCCATGATTCTTCTTCTTCTGCAGTCAGTCATTCTTCAAACAGATCTTCTATTTTCTTCAGATCTTCTTCTTCTTCTTTTTGCTTTCTTCTTCATTTCTCATTTTCTTCTTCATCTTCTTTTTTTTCTTTTTTCTTATACATGGCAGTTTTTATTTAATCCATATCTGCCTTCTCCTCATCACTTTACTGGTAGGCAGCAAGTGTCCCTTCTGTCAGCCTCAGAGTGATGAACATGTCATAAAGTTGCTTTATGGCACACAGTCTGCCAATGAGCTCTACCTTCTCTACCTATTCAACACCAGGTGAACCCGGTGCGGATCCATCATGTTCAGGGATCAGCTTTAGGTCATAGTTACCATTCATTTTCATTGACACCAAAATAGCTTCTAAGTGGAAGGATTTGTGCAGGTTACCAAAACACCAATAATCAAAACCAACAGTCACCAAAACACCAACAGTCAATACCAATGATCACCAAAACAAATCAACCAAAAGAACTACTGTTTGACACTGACATGTAGCAGATTATCTACACATGAAATGACATCAATCGATCAGATCAAAATTTGTATGTCCTGCCAAATCCTATATAAATGAACTAGGTTTTTTTTTTTTTTCAGTAGAGAATATATCCTACACATGGGCATTTCATTTGAAAAGGAAAGTGACTACTTTAATTCATACATTGAAATTTGGGATTACCATTTATTGCAGTTTTTAAAAAAAATTCTGTGATGTTATAGACGTGTATGGTTGCATGATAGAACAAACAAAATAACAAGTACTGCTGATGAGGTGAAAAGAAAAGACAAGAATTGCTAAGATAAAATTCTTTGAATAGCTGATATAGAGGATCAAAGCGGAATGTCTTTCTGTGGGTAAGGGAAGTGGTGAGTCAGTAGGGCCTGGAGCTGATGCTTGTGTTTGGTTGGTTGATCAAGGTTACTGGTGGTGACATTGACAGCTTTCCCACTCACTTGCAACTGACTTTAATATCATGAGTGGTGTCCTTAAAAACATTTTTAATTATGCTTCTGCTTTAGCATCAAGATTTGTAATTAGCTTTCAACAATGAGAAAGAAAATTTCAATTCCTTGAAAGGAGTGAAAAGTTACCAAGAATAGTTGTTTGCTGAGAAAGTTCTTGGAAGGTAGAATTATGAAGTTTGCCTGAAAGATTGCAGAAGACCATGAAATAATATTGTTCAATAAAGTTCATGTAATAAATAAAATAATTGTCTTATTTTCGCTTAATTAAACAGACAGACCTGTTTGGATAATATCATTAACAATCACATTTAATCAGTATTTGATAAAATCATCTGGCTTCTTGGTAGGATTTTCATAGTAAGATTTGCATCAAAAATTGGTTGCATAAGACTACAGAAGCAACAAACTAAACAGAGTATAATTTAGTTTCTATGAGTATTTGAAGAATTATGTGAATTAGATTACAGATTATTATTTCTTTATTGATTTTGTTCAAATTTTGTAGAACATAACTCATCACTACTTTTTTCTCCAACATTTTTTGTTCATCTTGCTGAGATATTCATTTGAAGAATATCAGCTTTCTCTTTAAAATCTTAACACAAATGATATATTCAACAAGTGTCCAATTCACCGGATTACACTAGAAAAATTTGGTCCATGACAATTCAGTTCTGTAGTCTCTTCTTACTAAATATTGATTATTTCTCAATTCCAACCAATAAATGCTTCTCTCAATTTTTCTAAATAAAAAAAAAACAATTTTTACCTGATTAAAGTTAGTGACAGCCTTAATAAGTGGTGAAGCTGTCAATAGGATAATTGTTTCTTCAGGGCACAATGCAGAAAGCTGAAATTAGATTGAATAAACATTACTTTTTAATTTTTTGCAAAGATAGAATAGAAATAAAATCTTCAATAGAAATTATAATGTATAATTTTATGTTAACACTTTTTATTACATTTATTCAGCTCATTAGCTGAGCATTGTATCTGAGTTGAACATGACAAAAGAAAGAAAAGTAAACTCACTAGATCCAAACTATAAACACAATTGCTCAGGGAAAGTAAGAGAGAAATAAATTTCCAATGATGCATGAAAAATCAAATGATTGGATTTCTTTCTTACAGCTTGGTTATTTAAAGCTGAAACATATTTTAGCTTTTAAGAACAATGTTTTCTTCTTTTTCTAGTGCATTATCAATTTTTTGAGAATAACAATGATTTTTAAAGATACATGTCATACTATTTAAACCATAGCTGGGGGAGCAGAGTGATTCATACTTTTCCTAATGATATTTGCACATAAGTGAACCAAACTGAAATTTGAATTGACTCTCTGATTTCTCATTCTGAACTGTTATCCATTACACCATCCACACATCCAGGATTTGAAAGCAAAAAAAAAGTTATTGATTTTGCGACTGTTTTCTATATATGGATTAAATAATAGAACTGCAATTTTAAAATATTTTTTCTTCATAATCAATTTTTTTAATCTGTGGAAATTGAATCCACTGGCTTAAGTATTTGGATTTATCACTGAGAATATTAAATTACTTTTGTTATATTGTTTTCAATCTTTTCATCTTAAGCAAGGAAATAAAAGCCATTAGGATGCAAGGTGTTATTGAGAGTGAAAGAAACAGAAAGGACAATAAAAGAACAAAATTCAAGGAATCAGAAAATGATGATTGACATTGCATTTAAATTTTTGAAGATCATAGTTGACAGGAAAGCAGGAAACTAGAAGAGAGTTTCAGAAGCAAAAAGTGTGAGAGAAGAATCTATTAGCATAGAACTTACAGTTACAATTTAAATTTGTGAAGTCAAGCTACCAATAAGAAAACCTCGTGAGAAAAATTACCAAGAAAATATTTATAGAAAAGGCAAAGCGAAGCTACATTACGGCAATGGGAAAGTGATTGAAGAATCTCTAGATATAAAACAGAGGTACCAGACCAGATATGGTAGTAATATTTGATGCATAGATCAATGATTGACTTATAAATGTGTAAGATAGATTCTGTTGATATTTTGGTTACTTCTGTCTTAGAATAAAAATAGGGATTACCTGCCCTTGAAATAAATGGACCTTGGCAGAAAAGATGGGTAATGTGTTTTGATGGATTTCCACTGCAAACATAGACAATTGTAGCAGAGTATTGCTTAAAAAATGTGTTGCAAGAGAATTTGTTTTGTATTAATTATACACTGACAATTCTATACTGATGTTGTCACAAAAAAAATAAAATAAAATTGTTGTGTCGTGTATATTGCTAAGTAAGCGTTCGATCTCTGTTCTAGTTGGTGTCCGTTTATCATATGAGCTACCTGCTCATATGCAAATTATATAATTTGCATCTCACTACATCTCCCTATAATGGAGGGCCTTATGCATGAGTACTTCTTGTACTTCTTCTTGTGCCCTCCTGAACATCTTCCTTTATCTCTCTCCTTCCCTTTGAGATCTAGATCTATCACGTCTTTCCCTATAATCGAACTGTTCCTCTTGCATACTCTGGTCTTTCTCTTCTAACTTGTCCCATTCTACTTCTTCCTCTTCTAACTCATCTCTCTCTACTTCTTCCTCCGCAGTTTCATTCTGCATTAACTCTTCTGTTACGTCAATAATGGGCATCTCTGAAGGCATTTCCTCATCCGATTCTTCTCCTTGGGATCTTATTTGGTCAGCATGAGCTAGAACACTGTTCCCATTTTCTTTATTTAATATTGCAGTATTATATCCTTTCTGCATAATAAATTCGGCTGACTCGGGTTGCATATTCCTATTTCTTTTGTACCACATCTTTTGATTTGTGGCATATGACATAGTCAAGGGACCTTAATTGTCTGCCCATTAAGGCAGATGGACTTTCCGGCCTGCCTGCATGTGGAATTGTTCTGTAACTTAATAATAGTCTTGGTAGAAAAGCATCGATTTCCTCCTGTTGCAAGCATGCTTTTATGCCCTTCTTTACCGTCTGGACCATCCTTTCCTGCTGTCCCATTACTTTGAGGGTGGTAGGAGAGGTCTTGTAAGGTCTGCATCCTATTTTTCTTAGCCATTCATGCAAATCAGCATCCACAAATTCTGGTGCGTTATCAGTCACCAATGTTCTCGGTGTCCCATTCCTTGAAAATATTACTCTTAATATTTGTTTTTACGGTGGTACTTTTTTTTTATCAGGTACTCTCACCACTTCAGGCCAACCTGAATATGCATCTACTAATATTAATAATAGTCCTATCCCATTGACATAGGCATGGTCCATGTGTACTCTGCTCCATGGTTCTACTTCAAAAGGGCCATACATGTATTTTCTTTTGCTTAAAATTCCTGAGTTCTGTGCATTTTTTTGCATCTTTTTACGTAGTCTTCTACGTCTCTTGAGTACCCCGCCCCACGCTTCCAATTTTAATCTTCTTTGCGTAGCTGCTACTCCACAATGTATGTCATCGTGTACACTTTTTATAACCTGTCTCCTCTGTGTTTCTGGGGAACTACCAAGTCTCCATTACATATTATCCCGGTTTTCTATAGTCATTTTATGTCTGATTTCTTTGAATGGTCTTTCAGCCATTGAACAATTTCCCCAGTGATTCTGTTTTATCCTCGACATTATTCTATTTAACACTGGGTCATTTGTAGTTTCAGTAGCCATTTTATCTACAGATATTACATCTTTTTCCACAAGGTGCAAAAATATGTCTTCAAATTCCTCATCGTTTTTGTCCTTCTCTTCTCTATAAAACCTCAATCTAGATAAGGCATCAACGTGTGGTATTGTATTCCCTTTAACATATTCAATGTCAAAGTCGAACGCCATCAGTCTAATCGGCCAACATAATATTCTGGACATTGTAACTTTCGGTAGCTCTTTTCTTGGGTTGAAAATAAATCCCAGTGGTCTGTGATCACTTTTCAACAAGAATTTTTTTCCCATCAAAAACTGTCTTGCTCTATCCGTTGTCCACACTATGGCTAGTGCCTCCCTTTCTATATTCGAATAATTGTGTTCAGTTGTTGTTAATCTCCTCGATAAGTATATTATGGGATGCCCATCTTGTGACAAAATACCAGATATGGACTGCTCACTAGCATCAGTATTTAGAGTTATGTCCTTCTTAGGGTCAAAAATTTGTACTATTGGCTTTTTGCCAGAATCTGTTTTAAGTTTTCAAAGGCTTTCTGTTGGTGTTCTAACCAAATGAATTCCACATTTTTTTTTTTCTTAACTTAGCAAATGGTTCTGTCAACTCATTATATTTTGGTACATATTTTTCTATAAAAATTTACCAAACCTAAGAAGGACTCCAACTTTTTTTTTTTTTTCGGTGTAGCAACTTTTAGAATTTTCTCTATAAGTACTTTATCTGAGAGATCCTTCCTTTGATATTGAGTAACCCAAAAATGATATTTCATTACTGTTGGTTACATTTTTTGTATTTATTGTCATACCAGCGTCTCTTAGCCGGTTCAGTATATTTTCAGTTTTTTTTCTTTAAATCATCTTCATTTAAATCTCCAACACATATATCGTCTTGATAACAGATGGTATTTTCAACATTTCCTATTACTTTTTCAATAGCTTTTTGAAAAATTGCTTGCTTGTTTTTTATGCCATACGGCATTCTTTTCCACCTTAACAGGCCTATAGGTGTGTTTATAGTCGTCACTTCTTTAAAATTTTCATTTATCAGTATTTGGTGGTAAGCTGATTTTAGGTCTATCTTCGAAAATACTTTCATTCCAGCAAGTTTATGTAAAGCTACTTCCACATTTGGAATAGGGTACGAGTCAGCACAAACTTTATGGTTCACCCCTATTTTATAATCTCCACAAATTCTCAGGTCACCATCTTTTTTTTTCAATGGAGGGGCAGGTTCTAATAAGTCTTCCTTTATTAGCTTTCGCAATTTAGCTATTACCAATGGTAACAAATGCACTGGTATTTTTCTCGCTTCGTAGTAGGAGGGGGAAACATTTTCTTTTAATTTCAGGCTAGCTTCATAATTTTTTAATTTTCCTATTTTTTTCTATTTCTATCTCATTAATCAACTTCGTTGAATTTATTTTTAACACGTCATTCCCCAGTAGTCCATGCATTTTTCGGCAATTTGTAACTATAATGGGTACTATTTCATATTTTTCTTTTAGTTCTATTGAACCTTCAAAGTAACCCATAATTGCTATAATCGAGCCATCAAACTGACGTAATTGTACGTTGGTTTTTTTTTAAAACGGTTTTCCCATTTTTTCCCACAAATTTCTGGGTACTGTTCTAGTTGGTGTCCGTTTATCATATGAGCTACCTGCTCATATGCAAATTATACTAATTTGCATCTCACTACAAAAATAAAAATTACTTCAACTTTGAAAACATCATCCAGTTTTAGAGAGTGAAAAACATTATATTGAATGGAAAAATGATTTAAACATATAACAGTCATTTACAGATCTTAAGAAAGAGAAACAATGCTCAGCAATTTATCTTACCCTGACTGGACCTGTTAGAGATTGTTTTAGAGATTGAGCACCAGGGGATATTTCCCACAAAAATCATAGTACAAATATTAACAAGAAACTGAACATACTTTCTGAAGTAAAAACAAAGTGAAATAAAAAACAAAAAGAAAGAAACACAGTCGCTTGTCTCAGTTTCTTGTTCACTCTGGCTGCCCTTAGAAACACTGTTAAGAACACCTTTCTCCTGATTGCCAGTGTCAATCTCATTCATTCTTTTATTCTCTCACAAAGTACTTGATCTGGGTGTCTGGATTAAATTTTGTATATGCAAATTGTGTCACTCTCCCAATATTCTGGCTTGTATCCATTCATTCTACTT